TTGTCGGCAAATGTTACATCCCATTAAAATCCGGGGAAACTAAATTAAGGTTGTATTTCTGTTGAACAGGCCGATCCTGCTATGAAGTTTCTTTTTAGGACATGGTGGAAGTATAGAGGTGGAAGTGCCAGTCTAGAAGACGCTGAGATTTTGGTTGGGAAGGGCTGAGTGCATAAGGATGACACGTGTATTTATGGTATAAGTTACTGTCTTACCATTGATATATTGACACGGAGGTTTTGCACCAAATACCTTTTGACACAACTGAACCTGGGTTTTGGGCACTGTTGCATTTAGTTAAAATAATCCTATTTTAGTGTATTCTATTCAAACTTTATTTTGACGGATGGTCTTATTCAGTGCCAAGGTTCCAGTCTCAAGAGAGACCAATTTTTGACGGGCTCACAAATAATTCTTTGCAGGCAAACATGGAATCATAGAACTTTGCTTAGCATTTGTTTGAGGTCATTTTTTCATACAGTACACAGTGCTTTACATTACTAATACGTTAATACTTTAATGGTGTAAAAAGTATGAAGTTTTGTTCTCTGAACCATCCCCTACCATCAGCGCCGTGAAGCTTCTTGAGAGAAGAAACACTTTACTGCTAATTGCCAATTTTCACTCCTGAATTATTAGTACAGTTAGATCAGCCTGTTGTTACAGGTCTATAATAAATGCAGGGGACACTCAAGGTCAACGCTTCTGCAATCTAAAGTCATGAACACAAATGCTCAGCCTTTGATCTTACTTAATTTCCCTTTAAACCTGTCTTGAATGGAGATAGAGCCCATCAAGACAAACAGACTGGTATTGTTCTGCCTGTATTAGTCATGTTTGTGCACAAATTGTAGTCCAGTGCAGGCCATTTAGCCCAGCAGGAGGGATAATGCTGGCTTTGTAAAAGTGTTCCGCTGTTGCTGCACATGCGGCTTTCTGTAAATATTCCTTAGACAATGGGACTTCTCATAGATTACCTGTGAGAACAATAAGCTGGCAAATATTAGTCCTGAGCTATTACATTTGGTGGATTTGTTCTCTGACTCTAAATAAAGCCTGTCTGCTGTCATTCTTTTTCCATTCCAACATGTTTTATTGTGTTGTAGCAGGGCTGAAAGTTATTTCATCAAAGTATATCATTCATTCATGTGGATGTATTGATTTTAAAAGTAAAACACAACAGGGATTGATTTTACTTCCCCCATTGTGGGATGAATAAGGGCCTTATTTTATTTTTTATTTTTTTTACATTATAATTCCGATATTCTTCGAGCCAGAAAACAATATCCCCGATATTCAACAAATAAGCTATTTTCTTCCTCACACTGGTTCCACTGAAAAAGTGGAACCAGTGAAAATGTTATGTTGTTCCAGATATTATACTCTCAAAGGCTTAAGCTGGGTCACTTTAATCATCAGTAAATATTTGATAAGATAATTACAGTACATGGGAGTGAATCGTGGTTTTAAAAAAATAGCTAAATCATCATGACCACAAACTGCCAATATGACTCATCCTCTGGGACGAGAGCAGTTCTAGAGCCAGTTTAATATTCTCATTAAAGTAGCAGCCCAACTGTACAAATATCTAATTACAAGACAAACCCCAGGCTTTATAACCAAGTAATCCTGCTCTCTTCTCATTTTAAACATTCAAATACTCATGTAAATATTATTTATGAGTATAAAACCAAAAGCATTTCTTTTAATCCTTCATCCTGTTTAACTAAATACATTGTCTGCTTTACATTAAGCCGTCTGATTTACTCATCTTACAATAACATTTATATTTCTTCCCCCAGTCATTTTCAGAGGCTCACAGAAAGTTGAAAAGAACTTCCACATTTTTTTAAAATCTTATTTCTGTTTTTTCTAGTTTTTTTAGTTTTTCTAGTGTTCTGTTTATTGTGAACTAAATTAAACAAATACCACCCAGTAGGTGGCAGTCACAAGACAGAAATCTAAAGGAAGGGGCAAGACGAAGCGTAGCTCAGGTCGTAAGCAGGATTAGCTTGGCCTATCCATGACGAACTCTTGAAATAAAACCAAATGTACTAGCCTAGCGCCAACAACAAAATGAACAAAATGTTACATCGCCGCTTTAGGTTTCAGGACTATGCTCTGATTTACCAGGCGGTAATCAGCCCATACAGAATTGGTGTGTATAGAGGAGGTTGATGGAGATATCTAATTACAGACTGTGGTTACTACGGGAAGGCCTGATAAAGAACCAGAAGTTCCTAACTGGATTCTGAAGTAACTGAATATGGCTCTAAGTCCTTTGGAAACAACAAGGCCACTTCTCCATTTCTTACGTCAGTAAAACTTTAAAGCAATGTCACAGCTCTAATGATGATATTTAGGCTCTATTTGTTACAACATAATCGTCTTCAAGAAAGTAGACAATATTTTCTGAGGCAACTGATGCTGTGAAATACATAATCTGAATACAACAGTAGTATCTCCAGCCTGTTAGCTCTCTGCAGCATAAAGTCCTAACCAACTATAATTCCAGTTGTACTGCAATAAAAAAACAACATTGGTGTCAAACCCGTTGTGTAACACTGACCCGGGTCTCTGAGAACCTTGTCCTGAGAAAAAATAAAATAAAATAAAAAAAAGTGGTACTATATTGAGCACCTTATTGTTATGTTAACAGCAGATCTGCCCTTCTCGACCAACAGTCTGCTGTGATGATGATGTCGTTGGTCTGTTGGCGTCTACAGAAACCTAAATTATTTGTGATAAAAAAAATTATAATCCAGTTTTCGGCTCAAACTTGGATTAAACCTGTAGCGTTTTCCTCTGGCTGATGTTCTTACATCAGAAAGAAAATCAGTTTCCTGAAGTCAGGAGCCACTCTGACATGTTCTCTTTATAACAGAGCTGGTAGAAATGCTAGTTTAATCCTTAGTTAATGATATACCTTATCTGATAATCCTGCCTGATAAAGATTCCCTGGGGAATAAGACTTAATCCTCACGATCAACATGAGAGCTTCAGAGGTTTTGGTCTTTATTCCATCTTGTCAAGTCTCTCTGTCTTTAAGAGCAAACACAGCCGCAGAAAAACAGCCCCCCACACTCCCCACCCCCTCTGCATCTCCAGCACGGACTGTAAAGCAAATGGTCGGCACCTGGAGTGTGATGTTTGATTAATGGTGTGGTACAGCGTTCCATATGCAGCTGGCTGGTCACACTGTGTCTTTGTGTTTGTTTAAATGTCACGGTGCACGCTGTCTGACATCAAATCAAATGTGACCAACAGTAATGAGGAGAGGGCCGGAAATTGAAAGGGATGGAAAAGGCTGTACATGAACACACACTTTACTTCCTGTAGAAGGAAAACAGAGTAACACTCTTGGAGACAGTCCAGTTGTTTCTCGTGGTAAACACCACATTTCTTCTAAATTTGACATGAAGCATCCACGGACAATTAGGTTAGAGTGAAGACAGCAGCGGTTTAAAGTGTGTGTGTGAGTCCGTGTGTGTCTTATCATATTTCAACATGATCTGGTCTTCACTCGCTGTGAAGCATCATTAGGGTTTGTTTGGTCAGAGGGGGCAGCATTTTCCCTATATTAGGGAACAGACAGGGAAATTCAGCAGCTCACTCCCCGTAGTATTTAAAGCCGGTGTTGAGGAAAGCCTTCCGTTTGTTCAGTCCAGCAGCAACAGCATCACACAAAAAGGGTAAGTACATCGGGGACTTTAACTCCGTTTACTTTGATGTGGAATTTTAGGAAGTTAATTATTACAAGTTATTACAATTGATTCTAAAAGGAAAATGTTTGTTTTGCTGTTTTGGATGAAGAGATGCATTTTTCTGAATTAATTTATCTGCGTTGACCATTTGTTAAGTTTAGATTTTGTTTCTTTTTTAGGTGGTTAGTTTTATCTTTGTGGTTGTATTTAAATACTCAACTGTGCCTGTCATTATTATGTTTTAAGTAATAGTAAATACTATAGTTTTATTCTGTGACAGAAAATATGTGATATTTTGAAAATCATTATTTTGAAGTTAAGCTATTGCAGCATGTGTGTAACGTCTGTGTCATTGTGTGATACTGTTGATGTTTAACACCAACGACTGAATGATCAGAAAAAACAGTTGTGAGCTCATCTTTTACGTGTCTTTTGTCTTGTTTGTGAAGTCAATTCCCCCATGCCCATTAGTGCACTTCCTGTACATTTGGCTGCTCCAGCAGATCATTGTCTCAATTACAAAGACCAATGACAGTTAACACTACTGCTCGGAAATGATGGGGATGGTGGATCATTATCAAAGCCACTATATCAGACCAAATTAAGGCTGTGGCGTTGGACTCTGTTATTAAGTTCTGTCAGCACCAGATGACGGGAAATGTTCACTGTGGAGACGTCTGACAGAGCCATGCATCTGTTTGGATGTGCTTGTTGTCTGCATTGTGGTCACCATCACACAATGAGTCTCAACCAAGGACGAAAAAATGTTTAATAATTAATGGATCATAATGGAAATTGTTATAGTATTACTGCACCAACCCATACCTGAGTACTGTATGTACAGTAGCTCACCTCAGGACTCATCTATAAGGGAGACCACAGTTTACTCGTCCTCTCCTCTGTAGTACAGTGTAGTTTATTTATAATATCAGATGAAAAGTTTGAGTTCATTATTGATCTGTACTTTGATCAATGTCAATCTCCCCAACGTCCAGCTACTGGACGGACTTGTGTTGTTGCTACAGAAAAGTTTGTCGAGAGCTGGAGTCAAAAACATTTTGAATACTTCTTCAAATTAACTCTGGTGTATTACGTGGTAATTTTTAAATTAATTTTAAACAAAAATCTGGATCTTGATCTTTCTGCAGTAAGGCAAAAAACTCTTCCCACTTGACCACAGTGTAGTGCGCCTGAGAACTACAGAGTGAGAATGTCACCTGTTGATTGCTCTGACCATGTGACCGGGGAACATTACACGGAACACTTACAAGGTCTTTGGGACTCTTGCTCATACAGGATCATGCTGGGACACGTGGGACGGCTTCACATGAGCTGCCTCCAGCTGTGAAGAACGTAATTGCTTTCCTCAACAAAAGGCGTTTAACTTCAGAACCCTCTGCAGATCTGGATGCCCTTCGAGGTAAAGTCAAAGTCATTTGTAGCCATGATCCCCTCCCATGAGACACACTCATCAAGAAGCATATAGTTTGAGGTATTATCTGCCCTTTCTGTGGCACTCACCCTGCTCTTCCTTTGGCCTTGGTACAGACCGTCACGTCTGTATGTTGGCGAGCGAGGTTGTTACTGGACACGTGTCGCTGCTGCTGGTCTTCATGAAGACTCATCTACACTGAGACTCCTTGAACCATGAACTTCAACAGAGAGCTGACTCGTCGGAACAGCTGTTACACATACGTGGTTGAAGAAGAAGATCCAACCCTGGCCAGCCTGAATGTGTTTGAGGTGAGGACATCAAACGTCATGTCTAATATATTTTTTTGGTTTATGACGATTCATGTATTGTAATTTTACTTTTTCATTTAAAGTCAAAATCATGCATAATATTACTGTCTAAGTCTTCTAAAAAAGACTTGTTTGTTTGTAAGTTTAAAACAATTTAAGTTTTACTCTTTTGTATTAATATTTTCTTCATATGGTTTAGACAGAAATAAAAAGACAAGTAAATCATATACTGTACATCTACTTCCCTCATTATTTAGTACATAATGAATGATTTATCTTGATGAATCATGATTAATTGTTATCAATGGTTATGATCATAATTAATTGTGATTAATCCACAACATCCCTGTGTTTAATTTCATTACAAATTCCAACAGTTTGACCCCCCAAAAATAGCCAAGATATTCTAATAAATTGCATTAAAATGGTTTGAAAAGCAAAGAAATATGTAATAACAGCAAATATCATTTTCCCAATTTTATTTTTTTCATGAGAAAAATGTGGCAGATCACAAAGAAATATTCAAATCAGACCTGCACATTTTACAACTGAGTGTTCTTTTGTATCACTCCAATGACAACTTCTGTATTGTGGTACTGAATAAATTAGAAATAATCATAATTTATTAAATCCTACTTTACTCTGATTGCTTCGTGTGTTTCAAACCAGTTGGCTGAGAAGGGTGACCTGGCTCTGCTGCAGAGCCTGGCCAGGAAGAACCCTGAGGTCCTTAGAGAGAGAGATGAATGTGGAGCGGGCCTCCTTCATCACGCTGCTGCGGGGGGCCACGCCACTCTCATCCAATTCATCACCACCGTCCTCGACTCACAGGCTAAGTACATTCCAGCCATTGATCATCATGTGCAGTCCATCACAGGTTAAATGTGTTTCTTGTGAATCAATATAAAAGTGATTTAATTTGACTGTAACTCACAGTCATGTTTCATTTTTGTTTCCTGTCCCAGAGCTGAACAGCTGTGATGATCAGGGAAGCGTGGCCCTTCACTGGGCGGTGGAGTGGAACAAGGAACCGAGCCTCAGGGCTCTTATGGACCTAGGGGCCAACCCCAACATTCTGAACAAGGCCCTCATGTCTCCCCTACACCTGGCTGTCAGCCATGGACACGATAACCTGGTGGAGGTGCAGAGTTTGTTTAGCATCCTGTAGCCTCTTCAGTTACCTTAGCATTCATGCCTCTTGTCTCTTAGTCCCTTAGTCTTACCTTTTATGGTGTATCCTAGTAGATTAATATTGGTTTTATAACAAAACAATTGTAATTTATGGTAACTTTAATTAAGTTTAATTAAAATAGAATAGCTATAATTTTATCGCTAACAATAATAGTATCAGGTCAAGAACCTAAATTAGTGATAGATAGGAAGGGGTCAACATGGAGGTTCTCCTAGCAGTCTAAGCCTGCAGTAGCATTGCTTAGTGATAGATTAAGACAATGGAGAGTTCAATTCTATTTTGGACTAATTGTTGTGTCAAACGTGACTCATACTTGAGTAGCCCAAAAGCATGACGATTCCACCAGTTGTAAACGTGCTAAGAGTGGTTAGCTGGTCGCTGACTGGAGTGGTGCACTGACTTTGTTTGTGTCCCACTTTATCGGCTTTATATATATTCAAAGGAAATGTGTATTTTTATATACTAGGTTAAATTAAAGGTTACATTAATGATGAAAACTGTTTTCTGAAATGAGCACTCTGGCTCGTATGTTGCTCTTCCCTTTGTGTATCTACGTCATTGTGGCCCAGTTGAGAGAAATTCTGCCCATCCTTGTGCCAAAGTCACCAAAGTTAACTTCAGTAACAAAACCTGACTCAACAGTCTGCTTGGAGAGACCTTGTAATGTCACTGCAGTCATTTGGCTGTTGTCCATGAACTGAAGCAGCACGGACTAGCAGTATAATGGGAAACAAGAGATGTACATATGCACACATGCATATGCATGTACATACTGTATACTGTATACGCCTTTTAGTTTTAATTACTCGCTGCACATTTCTCTGCCTCCTGCAGCTGTTACTGTCCTACAGTTCCACAGACAGTAATCTGGAGGGAGACCTGGGGAACACTCCTGTGATCCTGGCCTGCTCCATCAACAACTGTCAGGCTCTCAATATATTGGTATGTACAAAGTTTTGGAACATGTTTCTAACTCCTTATGTTTCTCACCAAATGTTTAAAGAGCTTTTCTTGAAGCTGCCTTTCCCCTGATGGCAAATGTGTCCCTGACAAAGTTTTGTCTCTGTTTGCCCTCCTGCTCATCCGTCCTCCCGCCTGTCAAAGCTGAAGCACGGAGCGATGCTCTGCCATCAAAACAAGCTGGGCCATTTCCCCATCCACGCTGCTGCGTTCGCAGGTGCAAAGAAAGCCATGGAGGTGATCCTGAAGGCCGGTACGATGAAGGGAATGATCTATCACCAAAAAGGAAAAAGTGCTGACATTATTGAGAAAGTTTTCACAAGGCCAAATTGCACATTAGGCTGATAGATAACAGCAGAGTTCACCTCAGCTGACAGAGACATTTAGTAGAAAAATGCTCATGTTACTTTGTCTCGTGGCCAAGTGTCACAGATTGACGGTGTTTGTCCACAGAGGGTGGTCTGCTTGTTCTGGAAGAGCACGAAATATTTATGGCGTTTCTGCAGTGACCCGGCAAGAATGAATTAAACTACTGTTTAGTGCTTCAAGCAATTAGCTAGCATTCAGAAGACTGCATGAATGATAACTTCCACTAAAAAAAAGTGCTGACTTGAGTCTCATTTTATTTAGTATTCTGACTTTTTTTTAAAAAAATAATTCTTTCTATTTTTACTAGATTTTGATATTAAAATATTCCACCTTTTCCCAGCAGTGTTTAAATGACAGGTCGATGGAAGACAGAATTATTGGCTACACCTTCCACATCATTCTGCTAGCTAGTTTTCGCAGTTGACATTTTAAATAAGACAGTATTCATTATAATTTGTTGAAGTTAAAAATATTAATTTTACTAAACTCCAAAGTTTAGAAAAACCACACGTCGAACCACATGATATGGAAATATGTCATTAACCAATAACAATATATATTGAATTTATAATTTATAGTCTCATTTACTCATGTCTTCCTCTGCGGTTTAATTAAATAAGGGAGTGAATGTTCACTAATCACTAATACTCCATCTTGACTTACTGCAGGAGAGGAGGCCGGTCACTCACTCACTGGACACATTAACTACATAGATAAATCAAGGAGCAGCCCCCTCCACCTGGCTGTCCGCGGAGGGAACCTTGAAACCATCCGCCTTTGCATTGCTACGGGAGCCAAAATTGACCAACAACAGGTACAGTCACCACTGAATTAACTCACATCCATGCTGACATCAGAGATGCTGGTTAGGTTTACTTGTTAAAACCCTCAGAACCACTTGCTTGATTACACCCATCTGGGACGAATGGATTTGGTCTAGCTCTCATCTGAAGCCCAGGCTCCTGCAGAACGAGTCGGTCTAGTATCCGTTTAACTTTAACTAAATTGATACAAATTACCTCCATTTCCAGTGTAAAGCTGAGTAAAAAGATCTCTGGCCTCCTCCTGCCAGTCCTTATCTTATTATGGGCTTGTGTTACAGCAGCCAGTGTACAGCCAGCATGTCTGGGAGATTCTCTGCTAATGATAATAAACAACAGGCAGGAAGCTGTTGTTGATGAGAAAACCATTTTAGGATTTGGGGTTTTTTTGTGAGTGGAACTTTCATGCGAGACGTGTACATTTGTTTTCTCCCAGAATGACAAGTCCACTCCTTTACACCTGGCCTGCACCCAGGGAGCCACTGAAGTAGTCAAACTGATGCTCTCCTCCGTCGACCAAGTGGAAGACATCATCAATCTGACTGACGGAGCGCGTCAGACCCCTCTGCACAGGTGGGATTCACCGCTGCCTACAATACTTAGGGGGATCCATTGAACGGTAGAGTTACACAGTACCAAGGCAGTGTTTGGGCTTGGAGTGATGTGCACCAACATAAAAATATATATTTATATCCATGTTCATTCATATCACATCCATTCATCCACAGCTATTGCCTCAAAACTGTACCAAACTGTATTCACTAATAACTGATATAAAATTAAACATCATGGAATTTTAATTGTTTTGACCTATTGTACTCAACCTCTGTCCCCCTCAATCACCCTGAGCCCCTGAGTGGGGGATCGGCTCACATGCTATAGACCCACAGAGATTATAAACAGTAAAATTCAGACTATTACCTTTTTTCTTTGGGTTGTATTCTGTAACAATATGAGTCGATTGAGGACCTAATTGGAAAAACCACATTATATTATACCCACACTGATGACTGTAATCTATTGTTTCTGATCTTATCTGCACTAATCCTAATGCCTTTTAATCCTGCACCGCTCCAGTCACTGTCTGCACCGGCAACTGCTTGCTTATGTTCCATTAAGATAAATACATTTGCGTTGTGTCATATTCATAATATTACGAAATGAAAGTCAAACATCCTATAGATGTGAAATCTGCATCTAAGCCAGTTTGAACTGGTTCATCAGTAATATTGCGAGTTAATAATAAGGTCCTGATTTTTTTTTTTGATTAACATATTAAGTGGTAATAGTTATATAATATGCAAACAGTATACAATTAAAGGACTTATCTCATGGTTTATATTTAATCATTTTGGATCTAAAGAACCAACTGTCCTTGATATGGAATTTTCATTTACACAGTCACACCTGACTTGTTCACATCTGCTGTGTTTACTTTTCCAGGGCTACAATATTTGACCACGTGGAGCTGGCAGAGAACCTCATTTCTTTGGTAAATACAACGCAGATACACACATATAATTCACACACACACACACACACAGAGGCAAACGAACACTGAATATTCTGTCTTTTTTTTATATATATATATATTTTTTTTTATGGACTCTTCACATAGTTTTAATGTCCTCCCTTTCCCAGTAGTTGAAACCCTTGACACCGAAACAGACGATTTTATCATTTAACAACTGGTGGTATAAACGAGCGCCACACAAATATGTCAAACATTAAAATGAAGGCATTAGTGTGGTGTATTAAGTTTTATGTACTGTAGTTATACCCCAGAATGTTATAAGAAAAAAGAGCCATTTAATAATTTACTTTTATTTTAGCTTTTAAACTGCAAAACTTGATATTGAAACTATATTGTTTGCAAATTTGAGTGTAACTTTAAATTCCCAGCTTTGTGCTGCACAGTCTGACACTTAAAATTAGTGTCTGCATACAGTGCAGTCTGCTCTTCTGTCTACTGTACTGTAATACTAGCTGATTGGATGTACAGTACAATACAACCCAAACCAGCCAATCGTTTGGTCCATTATATAAAATATCATTGCCAATGTAAAAAGGAAGAAGACATGCATGTGGCCCAGGAGCCACAGGTTGAAGACACTTGCCCTTGCCACTTCACTAAACCCTTAGTAACACACCAAAACTTCATCCATACCCTAATCTAATCTTTATTCTATTTTATTCCAACTCCAAACTAAATTTTCAACTTCAAAGTGCCTCCTGTTTACTAATGGCCTGTTTACTGTCCCTGGAGGAGACAAAGTGTCCCTGCAACAATAGTCATCTTCAGAAATTACACAGCTATAGCTACACCAGGAACACACATTCTTAAACATTCTTATCTATATGCATGTTCATACACATAACCAAAGTATTTGTAATTCACATGTCTGCCCTCTAGAGAGGTTAATAGTGCCTCCGGTGGCTAACTGACAACCCGCTGCCACCTGTTCACACTCTGCAGAGCAATACAAACAGCACTGTGTTGTTAGGGAATAAAATGGGGTCCAAGTTTATCTTCTTTTAACTCATTTAGAGAGCAAACATGTGCAGCAGTGTGTTGTCCGTGAAAGGCTCCTCAGAGAGTGACATCTCCTGACACTAAAGGCAAATCAATTCAGTCCGAGCTACTTTTCTGACTTGGGGGAGAGGAATGGTTGAACCAGAGGAAATGTTTTCAACGGAATCACACACTTTAATTGTTTAGGGGAATTATAACAAATAATTAATTATTATCACATCATGATGTATGAAAGATAAAAGAAAAACATTAAAAACAGTTCTGAACAGATCTGAACCATATACAGTTTGTTAGGGATGTCCGATATTAATTTTCTCCCGATTTTGTCCAAACACTTAATTTCCAATTCCGATATCAATCGTTACCGATATATATGCAGCTGTTTGGGTTAAAGGGAGAGTACATACATTTCATTGTGTGCAGTGGTGTGCTGTGTCACAATGACAATAGTGTGCACAATCCAAATTATAGTTTCACTTTCACTTCAAAACTATTCTTATGTCACATCACCAGGGCAAAATCCAATTTTCATTATCGGCGGAATAACCGATAATGATTCTTACCGATGTTACATAATCATACAATCACACATCCGTATTATTATTATTATTATTATTATTATTATTATTATTATATTTACAATACATCATACCTCAGGGTGCCGATCTGAGCAGCACAGACTGTAAGGGATACACACCGTTGCTGTTGGCCGCCAGCTGTGGAGCATGGAGAACTTTGTCTCTGTTGCTGTCCAAAGGTGTGTTACAGTTCCTTCAGTTCACCACAAATGGCATCCCAGCTTCTTCAAGTGCAGACGATACTCAGCTATGTTGATCAACTTTAGGGGCAAATCCAAATGTGAGAGACCTGAGTGGCTGTAACTTCCTTCACCTGGTCATCCTGCAGCCCAAAGGTCTGAAGAACCTCCCAGAAGAAGTTTTTCAGGTATCTGCACTACATCATGTGAAATACATGAGTATTTTAATTGTATTCACGAAGGGGTTTTTTTTACCAAAATCTGTTAACTGTTGTTTTACTCCAGAATAACAGTGTCAAAGACCTGCTGAGCTGTGAGGACAACGACGGCTGCACCCCGCTCCACTACGCCTGCAGACTGGGAATCCACGAGTCGGTGAAGAACATGCTTGGTCTCTCGGGGGACATCGGCCTTGCATGCAAGTCCAAGGACAAGAAGTCTGTCTTGCACTTTGCAGCTCAGTGAGTTCAATTGGTCCCTCAGGGTGTAAATCTCCATAACACTGAACCGACAGTATTTACACCCAATCGCTTTTTTATCAAGTTAGGTTGCCAAAGAAAGTTACTGCAGTACTGTTCACATTAGTAACAAAAAACAACAAAAGACATCAAACTCTCAGACCCACGTCAGTCAATCCTACACTGTCTGATGTAGCACTTACATTTCAAATTGTCCTTATCGTTGGGCAAAGTAGTAACAGTTTGGTGGGCAGTTTCAGATCCCACAGGACACTGTTTGTCTACTCTGTGAGCAGTACAGCATTTATTAAATAATGGCATCTTTACAGTAAAAGACATTAATCAAAGCCATTTCCTGAAACCCAGATGTCTCTCTGTAATTGAACAGCAGTGGGATGAAAAATGAGGAGAGCAACTGCATTTGAAACACTCACCTCATCGCTCTGTTGTTTTAATCATCTGAGAAAAAGTCTGGCGCTCAATAATCTCTCTCTCTCTCTCTCTCTCTCTCTCTATCTATCTATCTATCTATCTATCTTTCCTTTAATGATTAATCGCTGTGACATCCTCTTTTTTATCAGTGACCCAAAAGACTTGTCGGGGGATTCAATTAGTGCGGCCTGTGTGAAGAAACATTGTTAATGGTGTGAAAGGAGGGGACATTCCACATTATTGTTATTGATTTTTCTATCATTTAACGCCATTTTTATAATAGGAAGAGGACAAACGGCTGTGATGTCATACTTTTACTCACTAGAACGCTCTCTACCTTTTTTTCCAAGGGTTAAGAGATGAAAAGAGATCACAGAGCAAGGACTTGTTCCGTCTTTGTGGCTCCTTTTATCTACAACTCTCCTCTAAAGTTTTATCCATGTACAACTTATAAAACACTTCAGACTGAAACTGGATAAAACTGTGTTTGTAACTGTAAAACTGTAGAAGCATTTCCATCTTCTCTCCAGGTATGGACGAATCAACACATGCCACAGGCTGCTGGAGAGCATCACAGATTCTCGCCTGCTGAATGAGGGTGATGAGCGAGGTCTGACACCACTTCATTTGGCCTCCAGGGCGGGACATACCAAGGTGGTGCAGTTGCTGCTGCGCAAAGGAGCGCTCTTTCACAGGTGAAACCTTAAAGTCGAGTATGAAACAAGAACTCTGTAGGTACACTTGAAGTATTCTTATGACAAAGAGCGCTGAAATTTAAACCCGAACAATTATTCTGCTCAGTCATGGCGGATAAAAATCTAAGGCTGGAACTGAGAGCCTGTTTCTTGTGGTCTGCATGAGTCTGAGAGCCTGTTTCTTGTGGTCTGCATCACATGCATCGTGTGTTTCAATCCCTGATGGGAAGTGACACTGTCATCATTAAAAATTAATTTTAAATGGATAAAATTACACTTTCTGCATGGTTAGCAAATCTAACTAAACAGAAGGAGGAGACACTGAACTGCAACAGGAAAACACAACACTGACTGACCTGTGTGAACATGGTGGTAGTGAAAACACAACATCAGGTCAATGGATTGGCGGGTGTTCGTGTACCTGAGTATTTAAATGAATTGTGTCAAAGCATCTTAAACTGAAGGCAGTCCATATTTAGCTCCACTTCTTTATACACCTACAGTACTGGTTGTGTGTTCTTTGCTCTTCTCCTCAGTGATTATAGAGGCTGGACTTGTCTGCACCACGCTGCATCAGAGGGATACACACAAACTATGGACATTGTCCTGTCAGCCAATCCCAAGCTAATGGATAAAACAGACGAGGACGGGGTAGGAATGACGACTTATTTTCCAAATCCACGTGCTAATCGGCTTTATGCCAGATTGTGATGAACATTTCTATCCTGTTGACTTTTTTTGGCAATTAATATGTTGAAAAAAGTGTTTTCCAACGACATGAATAATAGAGTCATCACTGTCAGGTCTGTCTACTGCTGTTTATTGATTTTCCAGAACACTGCACTCCACATCGGAGCAAAGGAGGGACATGCTGCTGCAGTCAAGCTAATGTTGGCCCGCGGAGCAATGATTGTCTTAAACAAGAATGAAACCTCATTTCTCCACGAGGCCGTGCAGAATGGGAGAAAAGATGTGGTCAACGCTGTCATTGACAGTGATAGGTAGGCAAAATAGTGCCTGTAAAATAGTTACTGTAAATGCAAAGAAAATCACAGAATTCAATTCAAACACCATTTGCCTATGACAAAGAACGCTGTCCCTTTCTTTTCTCCAGGTGTCCCGAGGCTGTGGCTTGTTTCAAAGGGGATTCACATCAGAAATGTCCCATTTTGGACATGATTGAGTTTCTTCCAGAGAGCTTCAAGGTTGAAATAAATGCATATAGTTGTATGTAGTTTAAACTGTAAAAACTCTTCATTTTTAATTTTTAATATTTTTTCTTCCAGTACTTGCTGGACCACTGTGTTAGGGAGTCTGAAGATGACCACAACAGTCCAAACTACCATGTAATTCCCATCCATTATTTACCTATAACACATCCTCTACACAATGTACTTTAAAGAATGGCCGTCATATTTGTAAAATAATGTCTTCAACTCAATGTGGTGCAGATTGAATATAGTTTCAGATGGCTCCAACCTCCTATTACACTGAAGAGGGAAAATGGCAAAAATCTGTTCAAGCCACTGGCTGCACTCAATGTAAGTGACTTTTTACTTCAATTCAGATACTTCACTCCTCCAACAGTGCAGTATGCAGGAGTTCGACTTTATTGCAGTCATGGATTCTTTCCTTTATCAATGTTCTACAAAACCTCATCTTGCCTACAACACTTTCGACATTGCCTTGGGATTTAATTCTGACATTCTCCGACTGTTTCCACAGGCGATGGTAAAGTACAACCGGTTGGAACTGCTCAACCACCCGGTCTGCAAAAAGTATCTGCACATGAAATGGTGTGTATCTCAAATGATTTTTTTTTTGTGCAGCCAAATGTAGCTAATGTACATATATATTTTTGTTTTATTCTCAGGGTTGCATATGGAATAAAAGCTCACATAATGAACATGTTGATGTACATGTTAGGCGTTGTACCCCTGACCCACCTGATCGTGACTCTGAGGCCCTCGTTTAACACCACAGAAACAGGGGAGCACGTTGTCCACATGGTGCCCATTTCTTTCAAAGAGGTAGGTTTGTTTATTAATGACTGATGATCCACTTAGTCTTAAACAGATGGTACACTTTGCTCTTACCACCAATGACTGACAACTATTAAAGAATTTACTTTTATGAAACATTTACACCTGTATAAATTGATGATTCAATCAACATCAAAAACATAGATTTAAACAAATATATAATATTAAATAGTAAAAATAATAATATGAAATAGTAATAATTAAGAAAACATTTTATATTAGTATTATGAAAATGGGTAAAATAACCCAGCATGGACAGTGAGCGAGACAGTGTCGGGGCCATTAAGCATAGGAGGAGGACTGGGAGTGAAGCCCCCCTGTTTCTATGTATGTCTAGGTCGTACGGGCAGCAGTCTCAGGCGAGTAAATACCATCTTGGATATTCCTGCATTTTGTGTTTCAATATTGTGCACATAATAATAAAACATGTACTTTTTTTATTTATATTTTCACAGCAAAGCCTGTCCCTGTCCCTCAGCATAATCCTGGTCATTGTCATGAACATCTTCTGCATCGCAAAGGAAATGGTGCAGATATCACAGCAGGTACAGTACAGTACAGTACAGTACAGTACAGTACAGTACAGTACAGTACAGTACAGTACAGTACAGTACAGTACAGTACAGTACAGTACAGTACAGTACAGTACAGTACAGTACAGTACAGTACAGCACAGTACCGTACTGTCATGCAAATGTCATTAATTCCATCAACACTATACCCAGCACTAGTTATCTGTAGATAAAGTAGTGATCAGGTTTGATGGACGAGGGTTGACAGTCTTGCTGTCACCTCTACATTTTCTCATATAAATTAAAATGTAGCAAATACTGTCATAATACTCATAGTACTTTAAAGTAGATTAAATACCTTTGATTGTTTCTGTAAGTGGCTTTGTCCAAAGTACTCTCTAATTGGTTTCTATTTTGTTTCATCTGTTTTATCTCAGCGCTGGACTTACTTTAGAGATTCCACCAACTCCTCTGACTGGTTCACAGCTGTCACTTCTCTCCTTTTCATCATCCCTTCCATATTGAATGTAGAAGGATCCTTACACTGGCAGGCAGGGGCGTTGGCAGTTCTGAACGCATGGGTTGGATTTCTCCTTTACCTTCAGAGGTTGTCTTCTTTCTCAACTCACATTTGTACATAAATATCACTGCAGCATTTAAAGCTCCTAACCATTCCTCCTCTTTGTAGGTTTGAGGGTGTTGGCATCTATATTGTGATGTTTGGGGAGATCCTACGTACACTGTTACGCATCGTGTTCATGTTCATGTACCTCATGTTAGCCTTTGCACTGGCCTTCCATGCTTTGATGCTTAACCAGGTAAAAAAAAAGGAAATGAATGTAAATTCAGCATTTCAGCCTCCTGGTTAGAAACCAACATGTTACTGTGATGGACATAAGGAAGCTAAATGAGGTATAGACAATTTAAGGAGTTCCATCAGAGATCTTCCCTGAGAAAGTGTCAGTCACAACTACAACATGAGCAAAGGAACCACAACAAAACAACGATTGTACCGAAAACAGCTATAACGTCTTCCTGACACAAAAACAATACACAATACAATACAATACAATACAGTACAGTCCAGTCCAGTACAATACAATACAACACGATGTGATTATTCAACAATATCTAAATTAAACTCATAAGTTGACTGTCAGGTAAAAGGTTCAAACAGAACTTTCGAAATAAAGGTCTGACTGCATTCCCACTTCAGTCAGTTGGTCCGTTACTGTCAGTATGGTTGACGTTATACATTGGCGTTGTTTTATATCAACTCACTGTGCCTGTCAACACCATTGAAAAGCACAAATCCCAGTTAAAATATATGAGTACTCCATAGATGCAATACAGTAACTAACTAACATCAATTTAAAATTCTCATAAAGTAGTAAGATATATTTAGACACTAGCAGAATGCTGAATTGTCTCATGCATTTCTTTGTTAACTATTACATCTGAGCTTTAAAGATGAACAAGGACTAATTGCTGAATTCTTTCCTTCCCTTAGAGAGAGTTTGACAGCGTGCCTCTGTCACTGGCGCAGACCTTTGTGATGATGGTTGGTGAACTCAACTACCAGAGCAACTTTCTGGACCCTTATCTACGCAACCAGCTGCCATTTGGTCCACTGACCTACTATGTTTTTGCTCATTTTGTGATGCTGATGCCAATACTGCTGGTGAACCTGATGGTGAGTACATACTGTATCCTCACACTTCATATTATAGAAGTATAATAGCAATTAAGGATTCTATCAGTACTTTAATGTATGTGATGGTTGTTATTTGTATCTGCAGATTGGTTTAGCAGTTGGAGACATCGCTGAAGTGCAAAGAAATGCTGCGTTGAAAAGAATAGCCATGCAGGTTTGTTTAAAACTCTGTTAATGTCCGTAAATGATCCATAAGTGTCTGTCCTAACACTGAAGGACATCCAGGTCTGACTGGATCCTGAATCAAAGTCAAGATTTAATGTGACCAGAATCTGGACATCAACATTAGAATTAATCTCGGGATATTACCACACATGTACTCTCTCCTAAACTTTTTACACACTCTTTGTTATTGTGTCTTCAGAGCAGCAACATTTGCTACAGCTATTACTACAAGGTTGTGTTAACTTATGATTGTGACTTATATGGTGTCTATTATTCCTAGATTGATCTTCACACAGCCCTGGAGGATAAGCTCCCTTATTGGTTCATGAAACGAGTTGACAAATACTCCACCGTGGTTTACCCCAACCGCAAGTGCACAAGGGTATGAAGGGCGAGTGCGTCCTGTAGATTTAACGTGGCCCATTATTTTTGTCTGACCATGATTAGACTTTTTTTTGTCTTTTAGAGCTTCATATCGCAATGGATTCTTGGTGTTGAGAAAAAGACGGAAATCTGGGGTCGTGTAAAAGCCAAATCACAGGCCTGCACTATGTTGGAGAATGAGCTGAAGAAGCAAAAGTCCAGGTGAACACGTGAATCTGTTTTGTTGGACAAATATAAAAGAAAATAATCAAAAACTGGGCTTTTAATAACGGCCATATGCCCTTTTTATTGGTGTATAGATGACCACACCTAAGGGAAATGTCTGAGCTGATTAGAGTTGTTTATGATGCATGAGCGGCCTCCAGTGGACATCAGTTGTAACTGATAAAAAGTTGAGGATCTACTGTAGCGATTAATGTTTTAACTTTCCAGGATGAAGGAGATGTCCAGCATGCTGGAGAAGCAGCACAGCCTGCTGAAGCTCATCATCCAGAAGATGGAGATCACCTCAGAGGCTGAGGAGTACGACGGTCCGGTGAACCTCAAGGGCAACTCCTGGAAGAGTCTGGTTCAACCGCAGCCGAGAAGTGCATCCAAATGGTTCCCACTGATAAAGGCCATAGGGTCCAGGAGAAAATGTTGAGGATGAGTTATATATTATATATATATATATGACATTAATATATATGTGAAAGAAGTTAAAAACGTGTGTGTTGTTAGGCATTATGGCATGAGCTCTTTGTAAGTTTATTTGTTATACAGTAGCCATGATGAGGTGGCCTTACTTTGTCTGCAGCTGAGTACGTATTGGTGTTGAAGTGCAGTAGTAGAGTACAAACACAAACATGTCGAGTTAGTTGTTGTGGAAGTAAACAATAAGATGTGAAGATACCGTGAAATACTAATATTGTCTTGTTGGGTTTAATATAGTTCCATGTGTGACCAGTTGATGATTATAACTGTTAATCATAAATATTATATACAGTATATATGTATTGTTTGTTTTTCTTCTGCAAACTTGTGTAAAAACACATGGTTCTAAAACCGTGGCACCTGTGGACAAGATGTACTTCTAAAATAAATAAAAACACTAATTCTGGATAAAAATAAAAATAATTAATGACACTATTCTTAAAGGAAAACTGTTAAAGAGATCTATGGTTGGAGTCTGTAAAACGCTTCTTGCAATCTGCTGCTAAATAAAAAATATATATAAATATATATATGACATACAGTATATGTATATATATTACTTTGCTTTGCTTTGTTTTTTATGTTGTTGCTAATTTTAGTTTGTATTTGCAATATATTGTACATTGTTGTTTGTTTTTTATAAAAATCCAATAAGCATGCAAATTACAGTTTTCACACAAAAGTTTTAAATGATAGTTTTCTTGCCTTATGCAATGTCCTTAGATAGGTATTTCTTTGACGATTCATCATTGCGTTATTTTTAGGGGAGTTCTGTGGAGCAATGCTCGTAGTTTCCCAGTACATTGGCCTCTTTTAGAGATCTTGGAAATCAAAGGGAGTTGGTAGAGAAACACAGTGAGGCCCTCTGACATCATGCTCCTGCACCTGTCCCTCTGCTTCTGTAGCACAGCTCCAGTAAAGGCCTTGACCCCTGAAAGTCTTTGCTGATAGATAAACGCGCGCTCTGCCTTCAAGTCAAGTCTTAAGGGGTATTTATTACCGTTGGCCCTGAGTGTAATTATTCCCAGAGCTAGTACAATAACCATGTAACCATCAATTACCCCCGTGTTTTCAATAACATTTTCGCATTACTTCAGAAGCTACATCTATGGAACGACTAATCAGCAACATGTTTTATGTCAACCTCTCTGACAGTGACTGAAGCTGCAGGTGAAACATGTCTTGTCTTGACAGTGTGTCCTAATGTTGCCGTGAAAAGTGAAGGTAAATCAAATATAACAGCAGAATTCTTTTGATTTGACCAATCACGTGTCTCTGTCAGAAGCTTCACTTTGCAGACAGATAAAGTCGTTGCGGATAAGATAAGAATAAGATAAGATAAGATGCTAAGCTACCAGCGAATGTTCAGACAATGTTGCATGAGTTTCTGTAAATGTTGTGGTGAATGTTTTTCATCAAATGTTTCATGTTATTTAAACAGCAGTAGAGCATGTATGTAGTAAACTCTCTGTAGACAGTGGCAGGTATAAATGTGTATTGATTTAGTATGACAAAATACTTTTTTTTATTGTTGAAAATGTGCCAGCTTTCCTCTAAATGACCTTTGTGTATTTCCACTTACATTCAGTCCAGTGTAATGTAGAGCAGGATTCCTCTCTTCAATGACCATGGCATGGCCCTCTACCAAAACTAAGGCATGCCTCTCAGCTGCAGTCTTGGTAATCCTTGGCAAGGTCTTGATATAGTCATAAAAAATTCAAAATTTCACACACATGATATGGAGCTATAGCTATCATGGTCCTGAGATTAACATATCCTGAGAAAGTAGAGAAGGGATTCCTGGAAGTCCTATATGCACATACTGTTTATACTTGTTTATTCAGGGAACATTTTTCTTCCAAAACCCCCAAAAAATTCCAATAATGATGATATTTAAGAATCTGAGTATTGTGGGACATATGTTCTGCAGGAAATGTAGTTTTGGTATGCAGAAATAGTGAGATTTTTCTGCTGCACAAAATTTCTGGAAACCAGAATGCCTGCCACACATGGTACACAACAATCTGGAACAATCCGAGCCTCTTCTGCTGTGTGTCCGGAATTCAAACCACAGACTCCCATCTTCATATTTTACATTGATTTTCTCTGAAATCACAAATGTTTCCCAGTAACTGCCAAAAAAACCTATGGGAATGGGGATGGTCGGTCCTTGCCCCTGCCACACCCTTGTCATGCCAACGGTCCAGATGTCATGGGAACCAAAAACAGCTGTGGCTGCGTGTGAAAAGCCGCTCCATCTGCAGAAACCCAATCCCTCTGTGAAAGCAGCGAAGGATTAGGAACTTTTGATAAGGTCCTCAAGACATCTTTATTAACAAAACACATCTGTGGCACCGACAAACCTGGGAAATGCTTGTTCGGAAAGTGCGTTTCCAACAGTGTTGTCATGGCTATTTACTGCTGTCAGTGAAGGTTTGACCTGCAGTGGCCTCACCGTCGGAGGACCAATCTTCACACATCCTTTCTGTCATTTTGTAATTTCTGCCCCACAATATACATTTACAAATAATAAGCCGTTTATTTACAGGGCTTAGTGCAATTATCAGGTTGCAGATGAGCAAAGTAAGAGTTTAGACAGGGTTCAGAGTGGTGGTCTCACTGAGGTCACGGTGGCATGGGGGGAGAAGAGGGAGGAGAAATGTACCCCACCCTAAAAACTGTACAGATGCCAGGCATGGGACCTTTAAATTAGAGAGGCAGGTTTAAGATTTGGTTTCCAGACTTGGCATCATTCAGTTCCAACACGTTGTGGACCAGTGTCTCTAGAGTCACTGTAGTGCTCCATCAGTACTGCCGTGGAGGAACCATGTCCATCAGCTCTGCAGCCAGCGACGCCGAGGAATATGAGACGTTCTTCAGACGGACTGCAGACCCCTTGAGGGGCTCTGCGCAGAAAATGACCTGCTATGCTTCTCACTCTTACTCGGACGAGGAGATGGAGGAAGAGAGTGCGGACGGGGGGATGAAACAGGGGCGCACACACTCGAGGACGCACCACAAGGACGCGCGACAGTCGCAGAGGAACGCGGCCAACGCCAGGGAGAGGGCGAGGATGAGAGTCCTGAGCAAAGCCTTCTCCAGACTAAAAACCAGTCTGCCCTGGGTCCCAGCGGACACCAAACTGTCCAAACTGGACACGCTGAGACTCGCCTCCAGCTATATATCTCACCTTAGGCAACTCCTGCAGGATGACCGCCTGGAGAACAGCTTTGCGCATCCGGTCAGTCTGGTATGAGATCAGAAGTTCGTTTTTCAGTGTGGTCCACACGAATTTTAACACGTGCATGTAATTCAAACAACAAAAAACATTTTTGTCGATATTTACTAATTCATCTTGTTCTACTTTAACAGACATGGCCGTTTATGATGGCAGTCCGATCAGAGGATCAGGAAATCTCAGCTACAGTCAGACTTTGTGGAGCTACAGCATAGAACCTCACGAGACTCAATTCTGATACAAAATAAATTAAAAAAAGGATTTATTTCAGCTTTTGACCAACTTTTGGTGGCGTCTGAGCAGTGTGTGCCAAATGGTGGGTCAGGGCCCAAAAGTGGTTCATGGGGACACATTTATTGGGTCACCAGAATGAATCATACAATGTGTCATCTTGGTTTTTTGTCACACCGTAACACTTATTCCAAGTCTACCAGCAGTACATTACATCTTCTACATTTTTTTCAATTATGAGAAAATGCATTGGTTTTAAACTGTTTTGATTAATTGATCTGGTCGAAGAGACTTGAATTCACGTAATATGACATACAAATATATAAAATAAAACCAGGAAGGAATATTTTCTGTGCTACCCTTATTCTAACATGCAGCCCTCTACATCACTGCACTGTTATTATTCATGGAAATTAGTTTAGGTTTGTTTGATTAGGTTAATCAAGAGGTGAGAGGTCATTTGTTGACTGTTGGATGATGTATCCATAGAGATGTGTGACAAACTGTTTTTGTGGCCCTGGGGCTTCACTGCTCTTATTCTTTTTTTTCTTTTTTTTACTGGTATAACAGTGTTCGTTTCTATATTGCTATTTGAAAATACGGGGAGCTGCGATGGCAGTTTTTTACTGCAGGACATGTCTGTCACAGAGATGTATTTATTGTGTTTATTCTGTTTTTTGTGTTTTAAGACGTTTACATTTGGGATAAAAGATTGATTAAAAATGTTTGTTTGTTCATCTTTACACTTGCTGAAGAAGTATTTAAATGTATGACAACTAATCACTGCCTATGTTATTGTTTGGGCCTATGATTAATCAGCAATATCTGTGGCCTGCATCACAGGCTTTTTTCTGTACAGTTATAGACTTTCTAAAACATCTTTGTTTAACAAAGTTCTTCTCAATACAAGTAGTAGTTCTAGAGTCTTTGAACTTCTCTTCCAGACCACAGTCTCAGAAATAATTAATTTAAATATATATATAATCCTGCTACATATAATTAATTATCATTATTTTGATGTTTAAAAGACATTCACAAAATAAAAACAAAAAAGGATGAAAAATACAATTTTATATTAGAGCTGTATTCACCTGCACAATATCATTCAACATATCAGACACACTCTCATAAACATCCCAGAATGGTGTGAGTACAGATGGATGGATCCAGGCAAATCCACTAACAGACCCACAAAGAGCTTTGGGAGGAGGAACAGTTGAAGAGGAGAGAGGAAGACTTTTCATCAGCTTCGTGTAGAGGTGCAGCTGTTGGAGAGTTGGTGAGATTCCCAGAACTGTGAGCTGCTCTCCTGGGATGGAGCAGTCACTCCAGACCAGAGCTGAACGGCTAATGAGCTGCAGTCTCACACCAGGCCTCAGCTCCTCTCTACCACCAGAAATGTCTAATGTGTTACACCGTAAGGGCTGCTTACAAATGATAAATGTGCATTTTGTGTGTTTAAGCATGTTAGGACCAAACACAATTTAAAAAAATAATATACACGTTTTAAAACCAACAGTTTCTGAAAGTAAAACATTAATATTTTAAACACAAAACCAAGGAAATTGTTTGCCAGAAAGTGACTTCTCATCTGTCTTATTGTGTCAAATTTCAAGTTCAAGTTTCCTTGGTTGCATGTATTAGACTTTAGGGACATCTAGTGGTGAAATAAGAAACAGCAGTAAAATCGCAGTTTCTTTGAACAAAAATCTAAAAACATCCATCTTGCTAATTATGTTACCATATAATCAAATAATAGCTAAATATATGATTTTTTAAATCAAATCGTGAGCTAAATCAGAGCTTTAATATTTTTACTGTAATTTAACTCAGTAATTATAATTTCATATAGAACTGTTATGTTTATTTTATAATCATTTCTCACTTGATGGCGCTCTTTATTTATTATGTAAAGGGATTTAAGCGCAATCGACAAATTACAGGCTCGTCCACTTGGTGCCCTTCTATTAACCAATCACAGTCATTCTTTGCATCTGTTTGGAAAGCGTCAGTGCACGCAGTGCAACTCAATGGAAACAAAGTTGATATACGGCTAAATGCATGTACGTTTCTCTGCAGAAGATTGTTTATAAAATTAATAACAGTAAGGATTTACCCCAGACTGAGGTTTGAAGACGGACAACTGACAGAAACGTGACTGCACAGAAGCTAACAGTGACAGCTACAGCTAGCTGCAAGGCTAAACTAATGCAGTGACAGCATGACTGGTGAGTTTGCATGATTGTTAATGACAGTGGTCACACTGGCTGCACTGTGATGCCATGTTATAGAACCATCCTAATATTTAAACACTATTATACAAGCGTCTATTTGTTGTTTGCAGCTCGTGTGTTTTTGGTAAATGTTTGTTTTGTTGTTTTATCTGTTTTCTACAACAGGCGTTTGTTTTATGAGTTTTATGCAAATATGGTTTGGTGTGGAGGAAAATATTTCTGCTCATTAAATGTAAGACTAATTTGTTAAATTACAGTTACACCTGAAATAATTTTATTTATGCATTTTAAGCTAAAGGTTTTTGAGTTTAACCAAACATTTCTACGTTGTTGCGAATATCTGTTGTTTTATTTGTTGTTGTTGTTGTTGTTAAATAGGTTAAATAGGTTAAATATTTAGAGTACTACTTTTAGTAGTATTGTTGAATTATTACTAACTATAATCATAAATCTGCCTTTCGGTCCTTTGCGGCGGTCTTAACAGAATTTTAAAAAATAAAAATAAAAGCTAATAGGAATAAAATAGTAAACATGGTTATGTTTTCCTGAATGTCTGGGTATTATTGTTCAACCACAAAATGCAACCTCTAGGTGTTGCTAAATCCTACACACCGTTTGTTTTACAGAAAATATGTGCAATTTGTTTTAAGAATAAATGCATGGTAAAAAAGACCAAGTATTTGCGGATGTGAAATGACAGAATCTTAAAAGTTCATGCATCCCTTGTTGCCAGCAGAGGGTGCCATTTACCTAAAAATTGTGATACTTACGATAACGACCACTGTAGTCCTGATTTAGTTATGTTATTTATTGCGGTATTTCTCAATGTTACGTTTAGTTTTTTCTCGTGTATAACTAATGCATAGCTACTAATTACATGTTAATATTTTTATAAATTGTACGGGTAATTAATTTAATTAATAAAACAGCTCATGCTAAACACAGTGATTTGATTTTATGTCATTGTGTTTTTTAATTTATTTCTATTTATTTATTTATTTTTATTTGTTATTTTTGAGTCTGACCCAAAAACTCTAAATTCAGGACTTACTGCCTAGAAGAATGCAGCTTGGAGCTTCTCAATCCCACTTTAGCATGTTTGTTATCCAATACCCAGCCCTTCGATGCCACTAATAGGGAAAAGGATGTGTAAATCCCAAACAATTTATTTCACATTTGCCTGATGCATAGATTTCCTCATGTGGACACAGTTGGCTCTCCTGTGTCTGGGCACTGTTTAGAAAACACATTCTTACCAAGTATGAAAATGTTGACCCCTGAACCCGGAGCTGTCGTCCCACAAACAGAGATTTAAAGGAGTAGGGATTTCAGTGATTGCGGCTGCTTCAGGAAGTGCAGTGTCGATGACGATTTTAAAAAGTTGTGTGGAAATCAACAGAACTTCTCTAAGAACGTGTCGGTTCGGTTATGGATCCAGTTTAACATTACAGTTACACGGCCCATATGTATGTGTGAAAAAGTAGGATCTTCTTTTTTTTTTACTTCATATTGATAGATTAAAAATATCATATGGCTATTAGAAATATATTTGTATACAAACGCAGGACTACTGAACGCTTGAATTTGGCCATGTATGCATGAAAAAATAATCTTAAGTGTTCAGATATTGTGTCGAAAAATGCAATGCAAATATGTGTTTTTATTTTAAGCCTATTTGCAATGTAAACAATTGTTTGTCTTGGCCTGTGTGATGTAGTGCCAGCAGGGAACTGGAGGAGTATAATTCTACACTTTTTTCTTATTTCTATCCACTGTTTGAAATGGATGCAGGTACAAAACCAAATGTCGCTGCACACTAAATGTGTGCTACTGCACATGTGACAAATTGATTCTTGAATCTTGACTCTTTGATTGAGAGAGAGACAAATGTAGAGGACAGAGATTTGTCTCCAGTGCAGGACTTCCTGTTTCTCTGTGCCGATGACACACTGTTAGATCACTGATTTGGTTATGGTGCAGGACTGGCAGCCTCCTCTCTGGAGAGAATGGAGGCTCTTTGTGTCAGGAGAAGCTGGATGTTCTGGGGAAAAGAAAAAAAAAGCTCTGTAGTACACGACGAGTGGATATGAACTCTGGTGGAGGGGCATAAAGAGGCCATGGTGTTGGAAATGCAACAAAATAACATCAACACATGCCCACTGGCCCAGTTTCAAACTCGCCCTCCATTGTCACCCCAGCTGGGAGTTGAATGTCAGCTCAGTGTTGCTGTTTGTTGTCTGAGGCACTGACTGGCCTGCTCATGTTTTTGTCCTGATTCCTGCGACGCTGCCAGTTGAAGACAGAAACAGATATTAGTGTTTGCTCTCAGGGCATGTGGAACGATCCTGGTCCTGTGTACAAGGACTGGGCGGTGCCCACCTCCTGGCCTATTATGTCGTTCTCGCCTTTCCGTCTCTCCTTTAGAAAGACATTCACACCAGCAGTTACTTTCACTGGCTCCATTTCACACACACATACACTCACACTCACACATACACACACATATTTGTAGCTATTGTCTCTGGGATTATGGAAAAGAGAATTATTATTATTATTATTATTATATACAATAAATTATGAAAATCTGTGCCTTTTATTGGAAAAAAAATTATCTCAAAATCAGTGACATCTAAGTCAGAATCCAGGTTTATCCAAAATAATATCTGCACACATTGTAAAAAAAATGTTAAATTTAAATATAAAAAATAATCTAATGTAATTATTCCCTTATTATAATTATTTATAAATATTTATTAAATTATTTATTTTATAATAAAGAACTTATAAATTTAGTCTTTAAAAAGAAAATTCAAATGTTAGTCTTTTAATGAAATAATCACCATACAGTACTATATTTTTTCTGATGTGTGCGATAATATATCTTTCAATTGCAAAAATAATAAACATACATACATATTTTTTATTTACGGATTCATTTTTTCACTGACTCTATCACTCTATCACGTTACACCTTCACTCCCATGCAAATCTACAGCCTCAGCGAGGAGATGTTCATGTTGTAGAAGCTCTACACAACGTGTGACCCTGATAAGGTCAGAGGAACCTTGTTCCGAGACAAGGTTTCAGACTAAAAACCACTTAAAGAGGGTGAATAGAGCGTACACAGTGAGAGCTGGTTCTGCTGCTGCTCCACTGGCCCCGCGGTGCCACATTCTCCCCAAGTTCATCTTCTGACATTACAAAGACGGCCACAGCATGACAATGGAGATAATATTTTCCCCTTCACAATGACTCTCAGTCAGCGCTCTGGGCGAAGGCTCAGCCGCTGTTAGCAGCCCGGGTTTTCCCATCCCTGTCAGACTGTGGCCCAGCCCACTAGAGAAATGAGTCCCCAGGTTGCTTAAAGGCCCAACCTGTCAGCGGTCCAGAGGGATTAGCCATTCACAGCCTTCATATTGTTCTCCAGGCCACAATAGGCTGCATGGGGCTGGGCCCTTTGTCATCAACTCTGTTGTGAACCTCTGGTGGGGCAACAAAAGTGTAACACACCTGCAACTATGGATTAGACTTTTTTTTTTACCTGCCTCTTTTCTCTGCTCTCTTGTCTTTTTGTCTTTCCTTTCTGACACGTTGCCTGTGGCAGAGTGAGCCACATCAAAAGTCATCTTTCAGGCCCAAAAGTACAAAAGGAAAAAAACTGTCTTTACCTGATAACGCCTAAAGCACTGGTGGACAACGCATGCCATTTCAATAAAACATTTGTTTGTCTTTAAAGTGTGTTAACTTACCCAAGACAAAAGATACTCTTAGTGCAAAGGTTTGAAAAATTGCATAATATCATGTGTAATTTCTCCAAATAAATGTCAGGAAAGACAGTTTTTGTCCACATCAGTCTTATTTTGACAGCCTTCTACGTCACCTTTGACCTCATTCCAAACACATCCTGTCAATGGTTCGGTGATGGTCCATGTCCGAGCAACAGAATCCCAAATCCGACCGCTTTTCCTGGAGACTTGAACTTTGTGTGACCACATTAGAAATCAAAGAGATTTCACGGTCCTCATGCAGAACGTGATGCTTTTAAAGTTTCAGAGGAAGAGGGAAATTCGTGTAGTTGTGGTAACTTTTCTTGTTTATTATCTTTTGAAGGAGAGATTATAGTTGCACAGGTGCAGCGTGGGTAAATGTGAGTGTTGACGAATCTTTTTCTGTTTGATCTTTGCTTGTAATTGCGCGCATTAGAAAGAAACTCACTCATTATTACGACATTTCCTCCATTAGTCATTTTAATGTGATTGAACTTTTGTACTGAACTGAGTTTTGTAACAGAGGTGAACGTTCGTGACTAATCTAAACCAGGAATAAAACAAGTTGACTCAAGTTTCAAACAACTAGTATTACACACATCACCAAAAATAAAGTCCCTTAGAAGTGTGTAATCAATAATGATGTTCTAGTATAATTAGTCGTAAAAAGGTCTTCAAAAATAAAATCAAAATAATCATACAAAACTAATTTCCTATATTTCAAAGGATGCTGCCCTTTTTGTCTGTGTTTTCTCTTTACTGCTACATTAACTATGACATTATTATATTATTCAAATGACATGTATTTAGAAAAAACAGGTATAGTTTTGCCTTGACATGTTTTAATGGTACAAAAAAAAAGTCATTAAGTGGCAGTGGCCTAGCCTACATTAGCCTCCTTTGAGGCTGAATATTCTGGCTGTGAAACCCTTGAGAATCATTTTAAATTAGAATGAAGATATTTATTTTATAGCGATGTGATTTATATTTCAAAATTGCTGTTTTTGAAGACTTTTGTAAGTACTCTGCACTAGCTTGTGTTGCATAAGTTCAATTCAGCAACTCTTTCTCAGACCAGTCTGTTTTGAGGTGAAAGGTTATAATCCAGTGGGTAATTGGTTGTCTTAAAACGCTACGGTGTTACAGTACTAGGTGCATGTTTTGACCCAATTAGAGAAATGGATTTACAATGAATGGAGTCCCTGCTGGAAAGGGACGTACAAACAAGAATTGCTTTATATTTTCCTCTAAGTGTGACAAAATGTTGGAAAAAACTAAAGGCTAATTCCAAGAATCCCCTGGTTTAATTGTTAGAGTCCTTCAATCAGGCACCACATCGTCAGGATTAGTTTTATGGTTCATTCAGTTCTAAATTGCTGAAGTGGGGATTGTCATTATGGCCCATGATGGTCTCTTTGGGCTAACCTCGGGGTCACCATCATACAACCAGACACAGCTGACAGCGACAGTCAGCCAGTTAACACTGTGTGATGGATCACCTGTTCGTGTAAGCATGTGAGTGCAGGTTTGTATGCGTGTGTGTGTGTGCATGAGCGTGTGTGTGTGTTTGTGTGTCACCCCAGAGAGCCTCTATAGCTGGATGGTGTATCAGATGGCACGTTAATTACTCAGCCTTCAAAAGAGGGCTGTCCTGTGTGGACGTGAGTGCAGGGCTGATGGCTGTGTGGTGGTCAGGGAGGCTGCCCGTGGGGAAAAGGTAGTGAGACGAGGGGCACATGTGGAGCTCTGCACTCATACCCACTGATCGCACAGACACGCAACCGCTCACTCACACAGGTGAGCAATCAGGGCATTGTAAAAACACAAAAGATTGACGTTCTTTGTGGATTTTCCCACTGGAAATGTGACTCTCTGCAACTTTGTGATTTTATTTGAAGCCTGTTTTCAG